AGATTTTTGCCAATGCACCATGATACCAGATGATAGGGCTTCGCTATTGAAATGCAAATTGATGCAAAGGGAATTTAGGGTTTGGATGCCGCTGTAGAGGGGAGTTTTATTATGCTTGGCTGGGGGGGTGATATGAGGAAAGTTTCGTTATGCTTGGTTGGGGGTGTGATATGAGGAAAGTTTCGTTATACTTGGGGCGGTGTGATTTTATTTATTTTATTTTTTAATAAGCGGGCGGTGTGATATGAGGAAAGTTTCCAACTCGTGTAAAATTCCAAAGGCTGCTGCTATTCTTTTTATTATATTTTTAATAATATAAAATAAAAAAAACTAGTCATTTTTTATCCTATTTAGTTTCCCTTTTTTAAATTTGTGTTTTTGTTACCTGCTTTATCATGCAATGTTTTATGTTACCCGTTTTTTGAGTTTGTTACTCGTTTTATGAGATTGGGGCTTTCGTTCAAACTCTATATATAATCTATCTGCGGTTCTCCCCCTTGGATCTTTCTTTGACTCAATATCTCTTTTTGCTTCGCTCTCCTTAATCAACGGTGGCTGCCCTCGGATCTCTCTCTGACTACATATCGTTTTTGCTTCATTGTCCAAGATAATCAAAAGGTCACATTATGCTTTCTCATTTATAATCTAGTTTATGTTATATTTTCTCTTGAACATTTGAATAGCTTTTGTGTTGTCTTTTGAAACATTGGTTGACCAACGATACATCTTTATCTGTTTTCTTTTGAAGTATGAGTAGTTTTTGTCTATTGAACATTGATTGACCGACAATACTTGTTTATCACACCAATAATATATACTAGGGACACAAGTTATTTGAGTCTCAAATAACTTGGCTCATGTCAAGCATTAAATTTAAACTATTTAAATTGAGCACTTACTGCAATTTGCCATGCAAATCGGAGACGTTGTCCAATAAAATAAACATGTGCCTTCATAATCCTTACTCCGACAAGAAAATTTGAAACCAACGGTTCTCAAGCTTGGAGATCTCATGAGGGACAAAGTATTTTATTTTGGGAATAATAGCTGTCTGTGTTATCAAAAAAATTAAATTAAATTGCGTCCTGCCAAGAGTTCTCAAGCTTGGAGATCTCTCATGGCCTTAAGGCTTCTAATGAGTCGTTTTATCTATTTTTGTCTGTTGTTTCGGGTCTGGTACAGTATGCTGTTGTGGGGCTCTTCGTCCAGATTGACTGACTGTAGTCTTTTGTTTTCTCAGTTTCATCGCTTGTTGCTGATGCTGTTCTCTTCTTCCCTAGTTTCCAATCTAACCCATTCGAGTTTTTGTGGATTATTTTTTTTATGTTAGATTTCTTTGAATTGGAGCGTCTGCCAAATTGAGTCAAAAGAAAGATCCAAGGGCTTTTATTTTTGGTGATTTGGACCATGCAAATTATTATATTTGTTTTTCTTTTGTTGGAAAATTATTAAATTGTTAAAACGAGTCTTTTTTTTTTTTTTAATTGAAATTTTTTGTTTTTTTTTTAATTAGGGATTTTTTTTTTTTGAATTTTTTTTTTTAAATCAAAAGGTCACATTATGCTTTCTCATTTATAATCTAGTTTATGTTATATTTTCTCTTGAACATTTGAATAGCTTTTGTGTTGTCTTTTGAAACATTGGTTGACCAACGATACATCTTTATCTGTTTTCTTTTGAAGTATGAGTAGTTTTTGTCTATTGAACATTGATTGACCGACAATACTTGTTTATCACACCAATAATATATACTAGGGACACAAGTTATTTGAGTCTCAAATAACTTGGCTCATGTCAAGCATTAAATTTAAACTATTTAAATTGAGCACTTACTGCAATTTGCCATGCAAATCGGAGACGTTGTCCAATAAAATAAACATGTGCCTTCATAATCCTTACTCCGACAAGAAAATTTGAAACCAACGGTTCTCAAGCTTGGAGATCTCATGAGGGACAAAGTATTTTATTTTGGGAATAATAGCTGTCTGTGTTATCAAAAAAATTAAATTAAATTGCGTCCTGCCAAGAGTTCTCAAGCTTGGAGATCTCTCATGGCCTTAAGGCTTCTAATGAGTCGTTTTATCTATTTTTGTCTGTTGTTTCGGGTCTGGTACAGTATGCTGTTGTGGGGCTCTTCGTCCAGATTGACTGACTGTAGTCTTTTGTTTTCTCAGTTTCATCGCTTGTTGCTGATGCTGTTCTCTTCTTCCCTAGTTTCCAATCTAACCCATTCGAGTTTTTGTGGATTATTTTTTTTATGTTAGATTTCTTTGAATTGGAGCGTCTGCCAAATTGAGTCAAAAGAAAGATCCAAGGGCTTTTATTTTTGGTGATTTGGACCATGCAAATTATTATATTTGTTTTTCTTTTGTTGGAAAATTATTAAATTGTTAAAACGAGTCTTTTTTTTTTTTTTAATTGAAATTTTATGTTTCTATTATAATTAGAGATTTTATATTTATGAACTTTTTTTTTTAACGGTGATAAAATTAAGATTTTTACTCTTTGCGGCATGCAGATTTCTTAGAATAATTTGAAAATTTACATTCATTTGCTTAGGGTTCTTTTTTCTTTAGTATTTGGGGTCCTGATTCTAATTCTAATGTTTCCAGGAAATGGAAATTCCAATTGACTTTTTCCAGTACATCAATGACCAATATTTCGACAGTGATGATTCAAGTGACATGGTTAAGGGTGCACATGTGTGCTTTTATAAACTTTCCAGTAACTATTCAAGGAATAAAAGTTTGTATGATCATGGTGAGCTCATATTTAAAAGGAACGGTAAAGCGATAGATGTTTCCTTCTTGAATATCGGTGATGGAGATGAACAAGAACAAATAGCTGAGCAAATTTTTCATTTACACGCAAAGGTATCCGACAGAATACTTATCCGTCCATGGATGATTGCATATTGCAAACAGAATAAGGAGGGTACGAGCGGATGGTGGAGTCTCTGTTATGATAGATTCGACATTTCACTTTCTGATTGGCAAGTTAAGGTAATATCAGAAGAACTTTCTGATCCAAACAAGGTAGATTTGAAGATTGGGTTTCGCTGCCTTTGTGATTACTGGTGTGGTACAATACGGTGAGTTTAATAATAATTTATGTTTTTGATATATTAATTTGTATTATGGTTAACTTATGTATTTCATGGTTTGACAGACAATTAATTGATTTGATCTCTCACATCCATGCTGAGGGGATTTTCCATGGTTCCTTGAGGACAATGACAAGTTATGTTTTTGTGGGTGACACACTCAAGGTGATGAACATAGGAGGAGGACTTAAGGAACAAGACAAAGTTGCTTTCCAAGACTTCAAGGATTTTAGTCGGATGCTGCGATCTCTATTTGAACCGTTTTTGAGTTGCGATACTCAATGGCCAGAACTTACTAGCTTTCTTGGTTGTTTCAACACTAAATTACAAGAGTGAGCTATTGAATTTTTTATTTTTTATTTTTGTGGAATATGATATGTCATTACATGCGTTTATGAATTTTGTTTTTTCTCTTTTCAGTTACCCAAGGTATGTTAAGAAATTGTTGGAACACCCATTTTTGATGGCTCCTAGTCAGAGGATGCAGTACATTGGTGAACTTCATCATAAACTTAAAAGCACGCATAGCGAATTGTGCGAAAAATTGAACTCAGATGATTTTCTAGAGTTCTTCGATTGGAACGAACCAGTAGCCATCAATTCTTTGGAATCGTTTTTTATTAAAGTTTTTAATTATGCGGAAGTTAAACCGTATAAACGTCAGCCATCAGACCTTCTAAGGTTCCTACGAAATGTCTATGAGCATTGTATGGATCGTTCAAAAAAGGACATTGAGGAAGTGGACATTGAGGAAGTGGATATTGTGCAAGTGGAAGCTGCTGTTAGAAAGCATTGGGGGGGTTTTTTGGATCGCGTTCACGTCCTGTTCTCAACATCAAAAATATGCTAATGTTGCTCATCTTTCGTTTTGCGGTTGTTTATCTTGGTTTAGGTTTTATGTTAGAGAGATAATGATTTTGTGTGGGAAATATGTGGTTGGTTTTTATTTTTTGTTTAAAAGATAATGACTTTATGTTGGATCATATTAGATTTTCTTAATCTATTACCTTTAAAAAAGCTATTTTCAGCTTGATGAACAGTTGTCCTAGGCTTCATATAGTTTCTGAGCATTTTGCCGTTGGGGTTTCCATCTCTCTTATGATTTATAGTACTATGACGTAGGCCTTGTACGGTTACTTAACAAAAATATTGCCGTCGGGTTTCATTTGACATAGTTTCGGAGCATTCCATTACCTACTTCCGTCAATCAAGCTAAAGGATGATGAGTGATGACAGAAGCTAATTTAATTTGGGTGCAAAGTTGGTGCAAAAGGTGAAAAATTTCTTGTCGAGAATTGTCAAGGGCTGTTTACCCACGACACGAGGCATGCAAGCCAGCTTAATTATGTTCTGAAGAAGATTGAGCAGTTAGAATATTAAATGAATACAACGTTACTTAAAAGACGTCAGAATTTCATATAAGTGACGTGATTGTAAAATATGCTATAAACCATGTCGGTAGTTATATATACAAACGACGTGATAGGGTATCAAAGCACGTTGATTCTCAAGAAAAAACGATGTCAATCAAAAACACGCTGAACTTAAGTTGTCAAAAGCACGTCGGTTTAAAAAAAAAACGACGTGGTTCAAAAACACGCTAAACTTAAGTTCTCTCTCAACCTAATTTTTCAGCCCCGCTAGACGAAGGGCATGTTTAGAAGTGCTTTTGGAAGGGCCAAAAGCGCTTTTTGATAACTAAAAGTGTTTCTGACAGCATTTGGCAGAAAAGTTTAGAAGCGCTTTTGAGTCATAGAAATGTTTTCTGGAGAAGCACATTCAAGATTTTTATAATAAAAGCGCTTTTGTTATAAGCGCTTATGAGCAGAAATACTTCCCAGTCCCAAACGAGACCGAAAAGTCCCTTCCCTCTCAATGAAACCCTCACTCCCAATCTGCGTTCAAACCCTCTCTCTCCCCTCTCTGAAGTCTTCATCTACCTATCTTCATATCACTGCGAGGTAGCGACACCATCAATGCAGCTACGCCGTCGACTACTGCAGGGATAACGTTGGAACCCTAGACAATCGATTCTGAGCCTCATTCTCTCCCTGCCCAGCAAATCGATGAATCATGCTCTCCCTTCTCAGCAAATCGAACGAATGGGTAAGGATCTCTCCCTCTCTCTGGTTTTCACCATATCCCTCTCAACCACCTCTTCCTTCACCTTATTTTCTCACGATTTCACTCTCTCTCTCTCTCTCTCTCTCTCTCTCTCGTTTCGGTCATAGATTTCTCTTTTCCTCTCTTACCAGCCCTTAAATCCCAGCGACGCGGATGTCTCAAAGGAGATCCAGCACATGGTGAGGTTCATTCGCCAAGAAGCCGACGAAAAGGCCAACGAGATCGCCGTATCAGCTGAAGAAGTACGTATCCTAATTCTATCTCAACTCTCTTCTTTTTCCCCAATTATTATTTTTTTCTAACCCTAAATTTCAATTTAATATCGATCCATTGTTGTAATTCATGAGTAATCAAATTTTTGAACGTGTTTCCCAATCCGGGATTCCAACGCTTGGTCTCCATGTTGCTGGCCAGTTTGTTCTCTGCTCTCTTCTCTTTTGCACCTCATTTGATTTTGCAGAAAATTTGACCCATATATGATCAATTTTGCTTCCCTCCCTTTTTCTTTGTTCTGGGGATTTTCTGATATTAATTTTGGGATGTAGGCGTGGTAGGATTCAGAGAACAAGGTTGATTTGATCGAAGAACTTTATAGGATTACTGGGCAGATTGGTATAGTCTTAGTTTTTGTAGTCAAATAAAATGGTGCAGTATCACCATGTCAAGTGATACTTCCATTAAAATATTGCCACATGTCTTTTTTAAAAAGAAAATTTGAACGGTTTTTCTAGCTAGATATTGGGTTCCAATTTACCCTTTATAAAAAAGGAAGACGATTGCAACCAAGATCTGCAATGCCTCTACCCCTCCCACTCTTTTCCTTCATCAATGTTTATCTTCCTCCATCTCTCTCAATAAAGAATCACTTTATTTAATAGTTGGCTTTTATCATCACATTTCATGGGGCCCAAAACGTTATCTATCAAGAATTTCTGAGGGCTTTTTAGTTAAGTTTGCTTTACACATTTTTGTGAATGCATTTCTCGGATCTTCTCTTGTCAGGCCCATACGGGATTGAGAGCAAAATTGGATAAAGAGCACTTGGATTTGGAGGTTTTGAGGTATATGAAAGCAACCTGGATGAGGAGGTTGAAGTATTGGGGGGAAGTAATCGAACGGAGAGAGGGTGCAGCAGAGGGGAACAACGAACTGGATAAAGGTGGGAGGGAAGGCACGGTGGAGAGGGACTGCGAACTGAATAAAGGTTGAAGGTAGTCTGGCTTTTATTTATTTATTAATTTTGAAGGGTAAAATTGAAACCCAATGTCTAGCTTGAAAAACAATTTAAATTTTCTTTTTAAAAGTACACGTGGCAAATTCTATGTGGAAGTATCACCAGCTGACGTAGTGATATCGTACTACTCTATAATTTCTCTATTGGGAGTTGTCATCTTACTATTTTGATCAGCCAACATTTTCTGGTGTTTGTATCTATCATTTTTTGGTAAAGATACTGGCCTAATTCTCTAGGAAATAATCTGATTTTTGTATTTATTTCGGCCATCATCGTTGTTAATGTATGGTTTTTACTATTTTCTTTTGGTTTCCCTTGACAACTTTGTAATAGGATGTGTAATGTAATTTATCAAGCTCAAGTCTAGATTAGGGAAAACTTTTATTGGTGCTCTTCTCTAATCTTTGCTCTATGGTAGCTCATGCAAGTTAACAAAGGTATTGTGCATTGCATATCATTACATTAAACAGTCTTCATAAAATGATGACTAGTCATCCGTTTCTCATATGACTAGTCATCCTTGCTTCCAGCTGGATAACAAACTGTTTTGTCCTATTCCTCTTTCTCTCTCTCTGCTGCCATCTGTGGTTTTCTGACCTAACGAATTTTTGACTGTAAAGGTCACGTTTTTGGTCATTTGGCGGCTGTCTCTTTTGCGTGGAATTTT